ATCTCCATTCAAAAAAGAAAGGGGGGGTGGGGGGGTGGGGGTGGATGCAACACACACGAAATTTGGCAAAAATGAATGTCTTCATCGAATAAACTATTTCTGTAAATTTTTCAAGAAGCCAAATCAAAACTAAATATAATTAGCAAATGAGTGATAGACACCCTGATACTTTGGCGTGAGAGCCGCTAAATATGCCGTTCCTAATGAATATATGACAACAAACTGCATAAAATGTAGACTGTTCAAACCTAGCATAGAAAAGATCTTCTAAACCATTCTAGAGCTAAGTGTTACGTCTTCCATTTATGTAGAAAATATTTATGCCATAGTTATTAACTTTAAAGTAGTCAATTCAATTACATGAATAATTCAACAATATGTATTAAACTCATTTTGCTTTTATTTAGTTTTACACAGAAGAACCCATGTTGTTTCTAAACCACATGGACATGGGGAACCTAGAATATTAAGAGAAGATCCCAATTTCTTTCGAGAATTTCATCAAACATGTACCAAACAATGATGTTTTAACTAAGGAGTAGGTATTAACAATACCAAATTAAAAGCGGCAAAAGAATGGACATAAACAAAAGTTACCTTCACATAAAAGCATGGATTATCCACCCAGTTCAGCACGAGTTGGAACTACAGGTACAAGAAAATTCCCAAAAGGAGAATCAAAGATCCTAAAATTGCCAGTGCAGCCGTCTTGTTGTGCTTGAGCTAGTGCTGAATTCTTAGCCTGTTGTAGCCTGAGATTAGTGAAGCTGCTTGTTTGTTCTGCAATCACCACGCTAGAGGTTGTTGCTTTTCTCTTAGGTGGTGGAATGATAGCCCTGCGTGGAGGTTCACCGTCAATTTTCCTTCGCTTCGGTTCAAAAGACATGCTCCTCGCTTCTGTCAAATCTTAGCCCTACCAGGTCTCTAAATTTTGGGGCTAAGTGCACCAATAGCCATTTTTAGAGCTGGTATTTAAAACATATTATTCAGTATTCAAAGTAGCCACTTCTAGGGCTGTTATTTAAAACATATCTAATATTAAAAGTTTGGTCAGAGCATAAATTACGCATAGCGGGAGTTTAGTGCACCGGACTACCCTTTTTTTAGTTAGAGAATAAATTACGCACAGATGCTGCTTTTTCGTCTTCTTGCTACTCTGCAAGTTCTTATTNTCTGGTATTTATTATTCAGTATTAGGTCAAAACCGATTAGTCCGTCGTACGGACCGGTCGGTATGATAATACTTTGATCGAAGGGCGTTTTCGTAATATCAGGTTGAGGTCCGAAGTCAGGTCATCAAGTTTCGAGTTCTAGGACCGATCAGTGACAAGTTCGGTATCATTATCGAGCTCGTATCCAAATCGAACTACAGGGCGAAGTGAAATTATCGAGCCTAAGATGCATAGACCGACCGACACCGACCCCGAATCAATACTAGACTCCGAGTCGGAATCGAGCTCGAGTCAAGATCGAGGGCTCGAGTCAATACCGAGCTCGAGTTAATATCGAGCTCACAGACAAGAGCCGTTGCAACCACACTAGGGAAGAGAATCCTGGCAGGAATTAGAAAAAAACTAATTACTCATGGGTTTCCCACTATGTATTTTTTATTATATCTAAAGTAGGATCCCTCCACTATAAATGGATGATTGTTGTTTCTGTGAGGAGTACATTCACACATTGTAACAAAAGACTATTTCTTATATTTAAAGATCAATCATTTGAGCTCTCTTACTTCATCTTATCTAGTTCATTCATTATCCTCCTTTCAACCATTTTTATCTTTCGTTCTTATAGTCAAGGTTGGATACTTCTATTTCTCTTTTCGATTTGTATCAAGTTATACCACATACCCTTAGAACTACGTACAAATTCAACTCTATCCGATTTTCAGGGTAAACATTTTGGCGCCCACCGTGGGGCTGAGGATAACAGTGGTTGTTTGATACAAACCTGCAACACACACCGTTTTACGCTTGTCTTTTGAGAGTATCTTTAAATTCGGATTAGCAATGATAAACCCCCGATTAATGGCTTTACCTATCGACAATGAAGTCGGCCTTCAAGATGAAACCAACAACTTGACGCCTAGGGCCAGAAGGCCGCTTGTCGATGTCGTTGAAACTCGAGTCGAAGTACCACTAGACGTTAATTCGCATATGGCCCTTGAGATAAACCAACGTTCTGAACCTGAACATAACATTCATGGTGGTACTCGATCTGCAGCTCGAGACACCCATAACATTGAGGAAAATGGCATCGGCTTGCGTATGATTTTTGAAATGTTGCAAGCCAAACAGGTAGCGATAGCTCAGTTGCAGAGTCAAACCCAGCTACCGAGTAGGCCGGAGACCAGTCCACCTCGAGAAATTACCCACAGAACGGAGCCAGCTATAGTGAAGTCAAATGATGTAGTTGCGTGTCTTTAGATGTCCTTCTACTTCTTCCTTTATAGCTCGATGAGTCTTTTGTTTCCTTGTCTTCTGGGATTGTATAGCAGTAATTATTGGAGACCTTTTCTTGTGAGGCATGGACATCTAAGAGTGATACCCAAGGGTAGCCTCATGAATCTAGCTTGGAAGGGTAGCTAGATTCATCCTTAATCTTGACGAATTGCTTCCTCCATTTCTCCTTGATTAGAGCTTCCGCAAATTGTTCTAGATTTGGTCTCTAGCCGTGGTTAGCTCTCTTTCCATTCTTGCACGCTTGAGGATCTTTGACAAGGCTGATTGATTGACTTTCCTTCTTTGTTCTTTTGATTGATTGATTCTTTATCCATGTGAAGCAAAGTTCAAAATACATAGTCGTTAAGTATGATCTTATTTCCTTTCATCAACGTCGTTTCTCTCCGAATCTGTACATAATGAGATGTCATAAGTCAAGGCTTCTTTAGGTTATTGAACATTATTAAAATTCTAAACTTAACAATCTCCCCCTTTTCGATGATGACAATGATCTAAAAAGAGTTTGACTAATTTAGGAGGTACTTTCCTTTTTCGAGTGTACTTTTTCTCTCCCCTTGTCTTGGAGCTCTTCCTTATCTTTCTTGTTTGTTGCTCCCCCTGTCTTTGTACTCTTTTTTCTTCTCCCCATTTGACATCAATAAAAAAGAGCAAGAAGAACAATAGCTAATAATAGTACTAGTTAAGCAGGCAAAAAATATATACAGCTAGCAGTTATACTGGGCATAGTCGACTGACATGCCCATCCATACACAACCAAAAGAAACAGTTTTAACATTCACCACATAAAACAAAAAATACAAAGATTGTCTAAACATCCCAGATACTTAATTCCTTCCAAGGAAATATTTTAGGGTGTTCATCACTTTGGTGCAGAAACTGTCATAGGAGGTATCAATATCTTTGGTGAATTTGGTCAGCTTCTCAGTTACATCCTGCATAACCCTGATTCCTTGCCTCTTTGTGGCTTGGAGAGGGATCCTTAGCTGATCCACATCTGCTCTAGTTTCCTTGGTTACTGCCTTTATCTTGTCCACTTGTTCCTGCATAGAGTTTAGCATTCCTTGATACCTGTAATGTTTTGCTGCATTAGCAATAGCTGATCTGAGGAAGAGGATTTGCTGGCTTTAGATTTAATACCTCCAGAGATGAGGGATGAATTCAGGTGCTTTGTCTTTCTTAAACCATGTTCCCTCAATCAAGGTATATCCCATCATGGCAAAGGCAGTCTTGTCATATGTGCTGGAGATGGTTTTAGGAGCATAGAGAGACAGATCCACTTTCATAACTTTCAAGATGTGAGAGATTAGTAAACCATAAGGTAAACTGTTCGTAGAAGATGAAACATCCCTGATGCTTTCAAGCATGAATTGACGTACCCAGGCAAACCAATTAATGGCCTTCCCATTTACCAAAAAGTACAAAACAAACACATCTCTGAGAGACAAAGTACTAAGTGAACCAGTACGGGGTAGAAAAGTGGTAGAAATAATGTGGGTAGTACACCGTGTTCAAATTTCAAGATTTTTGGACCAATATCAGGGGGGTTTCAGATAACACACTTTTGGCTTCGTCAAACGACACATCAAAATTATCTGGCCAAGAATGTTGCACAAAAAGACTATACCCAACAAACTTTGTTGCAAAGATTTTTTCAAACTGATAAGCGTCAAGAATAATACGAGTTCCTAAAACCATAGATTCTAGATCATCTTTAACATTCACAAACAGATTTGCATACAACATACGCACATGCTTTTCATAGATAGTATCACCAACAATAGCAAATAGAGAGACAAGTTTCTGAGTTTCGAACATAGAGATAACATCACAGTGAGAATTTTGCATAAATTTCAAACTTACAATACCGACCAAAAGCAATCGACTTTCCTTTGAAAGCAATAAACCTAGATTTCTCTTCGGGGCCATAGAAATTCATCTTGTCTTCTGGGTCAAACTCTATACATTCTGTTTTCCCTCTTTTCTAAGAAGACTATTTGAGGATGGACTCCATGGGATGTTTTCCTGCCCTCTTTTGGGAGATGAGAATATCTTCTTGAGAATCAATAGAATCATCCTGGGTCAATAGATGATCTGTGCTTTCTGAGGATTCTACATCAACAAGATCATTAGTTTGAAGGTTTTTCTTGAAGCGATGGCTTCTTCTGGGCATGGAAGAGGAATGAGAGGGTTTGATTTTGGCCGAGTAAAAGAGAACAGAAAGATAGAGACTAAGTTTCTTTGAGAGAATGGGAGATATGATCGAGGGGGAAGGGGTTAAAAAGGAGTTTGAATGGACGCCTCGATTCTTGGAGAGACGTGTGAAGAGCAACTGAAAAGTTGCCTTCTGCAAGCCCGCCGTCAGTTCACAATTAAAGCATGTACAAACTAATCAAGTACTAAAATATTATATTATAGAAAACACTTAGCACGGTTATATGGGAATTGTACAAATACCAATTTTGTTACGAAGGAAACAAACTCTTTCTTCAAGCAACGATTTTGTAAAAATATCCGCTAACTGATTTTCAGTATTGAAAAATTCTAACACAATATCACCTTTGGCAACATGATCACGTATAAAATGATGCTTAATCTCAATATGCTTAGCCCTAGAATGACGCACAAATTTTTTTGATAGACAAATAACACTAGTGTTATCACACATAATAGGAACGTAGTTAAGGCATAAATCATAATCTAATAGTTGATGCATAATCCATAGGACTTGTGTGCAACAGTTGCCTACAACCAAATATTCTGCTTCAGTAGTAAATAGGTCTACACAACTTTGTTTCTTGTTGTGCCAGGATATAAGAGATTTTTGAGGTAATTGGCATGTTCCACTCGTGCTTTTCCTTTCAATTTTATCTCCTGCAAAATCTGCATCTAAAAAACCTTTAAGATCAAAGATATCTAAACTTTCGTACCATAATCCATATTCGACTGTCCCTATTAAATATCTGATAATACGTTTAACAACAGTCAAGTGGGACTCTTTAGGAGCGACTGATATCTTGCACATTTGCAAACACTGAACATAATATCTGGTCGACTAGCTGTAAGATAGAGTAGAGAACCAAGCATACCTCGATATATTATTTCATCGACACTCTTACTATCTTTATCTTCATCCAAGTTAGTTGACAGACTCATAGGCGTTCCTATGGCTTTTGCATTAGACATGCCATATTTTTTTATGAGCTCTTTTGTGTACTTTGTTTGACTAATGAAAATCCTTTTTTGTACTTTCTTGATTTGAAGCCCAACGAAGAAAGTTAATTCCCCCATCAAACTCATTTCAAATTCCCCTTTCATGATATTTGAAAAGTCCTTACATAAAACATGATTAGTGCTGCCAAAAATAATATCATCTACGTAGATTTATATAATTAAATTACCTTGATACGATCGTTTGATACAAAAAGTAGTATGAATATTACCTCTGTCAAACCCATATTTGACTAAGAATGAGCTCGGCCTTTCATACCAAGCTCTAGGAGCTTGCTTTATACCATACAGTGCTTATGACAGTTTGTAGATATGATTTGGAAAGGATTCATTTACAAATCATGGAGTTTGCTTAACAAATACTTCCTCAGAGATGAACCCATTTAAGAAAGTACTTTTCACATCCATCTGAAATAGTCTGAAACATTTGTGAGCAGCATAGGCTAATAGAATATGAATAGACTCTAACCTGGCAACATGGGCGAAGGTCTCCTCGTAATCAATTCCTTCTTGCTATGAATAGACTTGAGAGACCAATCTAGCTTTATTTCGTACTACTTGTCCATATTCATTCAACTTATTTCTATACACCTATTTTTTTCCAACAATGGATGCATTTGGTGGTTTAGGAATGAGTTCCCATACCTTATTTTTTCTCAAATTGATCAAGTTTTTCCTTCATTACAGTTATCCAGCTTTTGTCCCCAATGGCCTCATCCACTTTCTTTGGTTCGAACTGCGATATGAGAACAATATTTGATGTCTTCTTTAGAGATCTTCTAGTTTTCATTCCTTCCTGAGGGTCTCTAATGATGCACTTATGTGGATATCTAGTCTCACTTTTCCATTCATTTGGAACAACTGATACTGGCTTCTTTTCAACAGGATTTGACTAATCAACTGTAGAAGGTTCCTGATTGTCTATAGGACTGTTAGTCGACTGATCTTGCTGATCAGTCACCTCATCATGAGTGTTTTCACCTGTATTGATAGACTTTGGAACTATAAAATTTTCCTCATCTTCAGGAAGTTTTTCATTCCTTAAGCGAGGGTTAGTGTCCACAAAAATAACATGTATGGATTCCTCAATTGAAAGAGTACGCTTATTAAAAACTCTATATGATTTACTAGAGAGAGAGTATCCAAGAAAAATACCTTCATCGCTTTTGGGATCAAACTTACCAATATTGTCTTTTCCATTGTTGTGAATGAAGCATTTGCAGCCAAAAAGATAAAAAATAACTGATGTTAGGTCTTTTACCTCTCCATAGTTCATATGGAGTCTTCTTGAGAATAGGTCCAATTAAGCATCTGTTGATGATGTGACATGTTGTGCTTACAGCTTCTTCCCAGAAGTGGTGTGAAAGTGAATTTTCCACAATCATAGTTCTTGCCATATCTTGAAAGGTTCTATTTTTGTGTTTCTACCACTCCATTTTATTGCGGTGATCTTGGAGATGAAGAATTGTGAGAGATACCTTGATCATTGCAGAAGTTCTCAAATGCTTTGCTTTCAAATTATCCTCCATGATCACTTCTTATGGAAGATATGTAGCAACCTTTTTCCCGCTGCACCTTCTTTCAGAAGACTTCAAAGTTCCTTAATGCCTCATCTTTATGACTTAGAAAGATAGCCCAGGTAAATCTAGAAAATCATCTACTATAACAAAGGCATATTTTTTTACCACATATGCTAGTAGTTCTAGTTAGACTAAAAAGTTCCATATGCAGGAGTTGAAGTGGTTTTATAGTAGAAACACTGTTTTTAACCTTTAAAGAGGACATGGTTTATTTTCCTAGTTTACATGCATCACAGATTTGATCTTTTGAAAAATCTAGTTTTGGAAGACCAATGACAAGATCATTTTTGGAAAGTTTATGAATAGTATGCATGTTGGCATGACCAATTTTTCTATGCCATACCCAAGGATCATCAATCTAGAGGCTAGACAAATTTGATTACCAAGACTATCTATGTTACTGATGGTATAGACATTTCTGTCTCTGTTTATAAAAAGAATAACTTTACCTGATTCATCTTCAATAAACCAACCATGCTTTTTAAAATGAACCTTATAGTCATTGTCACATAGTTGACTGATACTAAGAAGGTTGTAGCCAAGTTCATCAACCAGGTACACCTCGTCTACATCACATGTTGAGCTGAGGGGAACTCTTCCAACTCCAATTATATTTCCTTTTAATTTGTCTCCAAAAGTGACCGTTCCTCTATCTAGTTTGGTGATAATTTTGAACAGTTGTTTGTCACCAGTCATATGTCTGGAACACATACTATCAAGGTACCATTTTCCTTTTGGATTCTTCTTGTGGTGTTCCTGCAAAAAAAAGATTACTTATTTTTCGGTACCCAAGCCTGCTTGGGTCCTAAATAGTTAGTGTTCTGCATATTAGCTTGACTAGAGGGCTTGGGTCGCCAGATCCATCTCCTGTTATTCTTAAACCTGCAATGATTAGAGGTATAATCGAGTTTTCTGCAATAAAAGTAGGAGGGGTTATTAGAATTTTCAGAGACTTTTTCTCCTCTGATTCTAAGCAGGCAGTGGTTAGTATTGTGACCATTTCAATCAAGAGGAACTAAAGGAGGTTGAAGAAAAGTTGAAAAAGGCCTTTGTTGAGTTCTATCAGAAACTTTGCAGCCTAAATTAGTACAGTTCTAAATCTAAGATATAGTTTGGATTCTCTTTCTGTATCAAAGAAATGCCCATGTTATCTAAACCAAAATTAAATCAGTTAAAATGGTTCTCCTGTTTTAGTGAATTTATATTCCATAAAATGACTAACTAAAGTAATCACAAACCTATCCTCATGTTAGTTTTTGACTCTGAGAAAAGGTAGAAAAAAGAAATAGCAACACACAATATCATCTATAGGGAAATCTGCAATCCAATAAGCAAAAACTTGCAGAAAATTGATCTCAAATCATCTTAAATCTTGTAAAAAAAAACTGATTCGCATTTGAAATTCAGTTCCGAGATCCACAAAGAGTCCACTCAAATAATAAGCTCAAGACATGAATATATTGAATCAAGTATAATAGAATTCACTACGATTGGCTAAACTTCTTTAGCATTACTGAATTTAAATTCAGTTCTGAGATCCATGTTGTCTTCTTTTATTCGCTCAATAACTGTAAATATATCCAAAACTCATTCAAATCTATTGACAAGAATTTCATACGGTAAAGGTGCTCTAACTTTTGCAGTTCATATAAGATATGTGCAGAAGGGAGTGAACTTATTTTGATATTTTTCTATGTCATCCTCGTACAAAGCAGCAACAACTTGTTCTTCCTGCAGTTGTTATTGTAATCAGTTAAATAGTCTACAATATTTAACTGAATATATTTTATTTTTCTAGTATGTATAAATCCAATTGCACAACTCAAAATAAAGTGCCAAATCATACTTTTTTTCCAATATCAAGATAACTTTATTTTCTTCATTTCATCTAAAAGGACAAATTTTGTCTTCTTTCATATTTTATGTAATATTTACTGTAGAAAAAATGAGAGTATTTATATAATATTGGAATAGCAACTACGCATTGTAGCGGCTAGATTACCGTCTCATCTTGCACAATCGCAATTTAAAATCTGGTTCACCCATCCTTACTCTGCCTTGCTCTAGCTTTCTCAATAACCTGGACCTTACAGGTCCACTCGCTAGTTTGTGGAGTTATGTCACTAATATTAAGTCTATACTCCATACTTTGTAGTAGTACTGCCAGGAAGGAAAAGAGTAAAAGAAGATTTGATTAGTATGCTGAATAGTAAACATGTAAAGAATTATAAAACAGGAAAAGAGCAAAGCAATACTTGGTTGTGCTTTATCAACTTTTCAAAATAGCTTTTTGAATTATTTTATCGTAAACTACATTATATGTAGAGTGGTCATCATGGTTAGAAGCTATATGTGGTCGGATTAGCATTTTCACACAATTTGAGCTCTTTGCTCTTGATAAAGCAACATAAAATTGACTATGCGAAAAAACAGGTTCTCGCAAATAAATTCCAACAAAATCTAATGTTTGACCTTGTGCTTTATTTATATTCATACCAAAACATAACCGTATATTATGTATAGGAAATTGGGTCCTCTTAAACGGAATAGAAAATTTTTCATCTTGAGATGATAATAATGGTATTCTTAGTATAAACACATGCGTATCTTTAAAATCACCTGATGAAATTTTAGCACTTATAACATGTGTTTTAAAGTCGCAGCAAGCCAACCGTGTACCATTACATAAGCCCTCACATGGATTTAGATTTTTTAATAATATAATCGGACAATTCTCTTTCAAAGATAAATTATACGGTGGCAAACCATCAGGATTAAAAGTATGCAATAGGTCCTCAAATTGTGCCTGATCATTAGGTTCATTGGTTTCATCAATACCGACAAATTTTTTTAGTGTCCCTTGAAATCGATCTATAAGCATATCGTTCATTTCATTGAAAAAATTATTTTTCATTGTCATAATAACACGGGAACTTGAGTAAGACGATGCTGAAAAGAATGTGTTTATATTTGGGTATGTTACTGTGAATAATTTTTCTAATGATTCTCTTTTAGTGGTAAATGGAATAGTTAAAGTATTTGGTATGTCAATTTTATTTGTAGAGTTTGTTTTTTCTTATCAATTTCCAATTCTCCTTTGCTCTCATATTTTCAGATAATGGCAATCTTTCAAGTTCTTCCCAGATATCAGAGTATAATAAACTTTCATTAATAAAATCTTCTTTCTTCCCATTACGAACAACAAGAAGTGTTTGTCTGAAGTCATCTCCAAACACCACTACTTTTCCACCAAAAAGTGTATTTGCATCCATAAGGCCTTTCAAGAGAAAATCAAAAGCCTGAATCGTTTTTTTATTTGCCATAGACACTTCACCTCATACAATCAATTTTGCTTCTCGAATTAAGCATGCAAGTGCACTTTGTTTGCTAATGTTGCAACTGAAATTATCATCAATATTTATTGGGATTTTGAACCGTGAATGTGCAGTTCGTCCACCAGGAAGAATGGAAGCTGCTACATCAGAAGTAGTCATTGCCAATGCTATATATCTTTTAGACTGTATAGTTGCAAGTAAAGCACGATATAAGAATATTTTTCCTGTTCCTCCTGGACCATCAATGAAAAATGCTCCTGCTCTACATGAGAATATTCTTTCAATAATTATATTATAGGCTTTAAGTTGGTCTCTATTTAACTTCTTGTATAATGATATGTCTTGTTCACTGACAATAATCATCCTCTCAAAATGAACTTCCTTTGCTTCCTTTGCAATTGTCGAAGGCCTGATTGTTTCTTGAACAATTTTGTATTCATTTATGGCAGCATCCATAGAATGCAATATGTCATTAATATGGTTCAAAACTTAAAATCGGATCTCATTTCTTCCAATGTTGGCTAGTAGCTTATGATCTTCAGACATTGGTTTCTCAAATTGTTCCCACAATTCTCTTGGGTTCACAGGATTACAATATACTAATAATGTAGCGAACAAGCGTCTTAAACTATGTGGCATTTGATAACTTGTTGCTTCTGACATGCATTCAATCAAATTGTTATCACATTGTAACATTCCTCATTTTTCAAAAGATTTTCTAAAGGTATTACATGGTTTTCCATTGACATATCATAAATCTTTATAAGATTTTGGACCTCTAACGTTCATTAATAACAGCCTGAGATAATATCACTCACCTTTTGTCGGATGACATGTCACAAAACGACCAATAATACATCCTTTTTGTCGGCATGTCCAGGTTCGATACTTAGCAGACCATACAAAATATTCAGGAAATTCCTGATACAACAACTTTAGTTCTTTAGCATCCTTGTCTGTTCTATTCATATAAAAGAATTTTGTTAGCATAGTTCGTTTATTCATTGGATTATTTACAATAGTATGTATATCTGCACTGCTTTTAAATGAAATAAATTATTGTCCTTCAAGATGAATCTGAATAGAAGATACACTCGGTGACATTTCACTAATAGAAAAATCAAACAAGCACCACGTAGCTTCCGATGCGACACCTGTCACGACCCAAAATCCGCTATAGGTTGTGATTGCGCCTAATGCCGCCGTCAGGCAAGCCAACGGTGATCGATCAACTTAATTACTCATTTTTATTACTTTAAAATCATAATTTCCACTAATTAAATAGTATGAAATAGAATTTATAAGGTAAAATGATAATAATTATGTGAACAACCATACCAACCATCCAGTAGAAGCCCCCAAAATCCGGTGTCACAAGTGCATGAGCATCAACTAGGAAATATAATAAAATACAACATATGTCTGGAATACAAGTTAGACAGAAGATTACAAATAACGCAGATGGAGACTCTATATGCTGCGGATCATAACATGAAATGCCGCTCACGGTAAAGTCCCTGCAATAGCTACGCCATTGCGCCCAAAAGACCACCAGACATATATGTACCTGCATAATAAGTGTAGCAAGTGCAATATGAGTACGTAAATCAATGCGTACCCAGTAAGTATCTAGCCTAACTCCGGAGAAGTAGTGACTGGGGTCGACATCGACACTTACTAGTGGTCCAATAAATCAAATATCGTAAGAAGTAAACAGATTGAGGCAACATAAATAAACGAAATAACAAGTATAAATACGTGGTATAATCCTCCTCTCAACAATAAACTCACGCTCTCAGTTAGTAGTTACCACCTCAATCGGAGTATATATATAACGGATCTCACCAGATAGGTCATCACAGTTCAAATCAGGAAAACTCACAGATACACTAACTTTTTATCAAATAATACGCACGATTCCATAAGAGTATTTTATAGAAATGCCGAGGCGTACTGCCCGATCCCATCATAATATGTGCACTACCTAGGGTCGAACGACACGGACCATAGATACATCTATTATATTGTCGAGGCGAACGACCCGCTCCCATGAGAGTGTGATACATAATCCTACCAAGGCAAACGACCCGATTCCATCTACGATTACTCATGACTAGAGAGAGAGTGTCTGGTGCTACTTTTGACGAGGTGGTTGACATTGCTTGTCAGATTGAGATGGTTCGCAGCCAGGAGTGGGTTGAGAGGGAGGCTAAGAGGCCTCGTGGTTCAGGTGATTTAAGCGGTGTTCCTTAAGGGGGTCAATTTTGCCGCGGTAGGGGTCGTCCTTTCAGACACACTCAGGCGACTCGCCCAACTCATCGTAGTGCATCAGCTAGCCACGGTTCTTACAGTGCACGCTTAGGCCAGTCTTCATTCAGTGCACTACCAGCATAGAGTTCTCATCATACCTCGTCCGCTCAGGCTTTTACAAGTAATTCTTCGGGTTATCAGGAGCAGCAGTTCCGTCAGAGGAGGGGTTGTTTCGAGTGCGGAGAATTGGGTCATTTCAAGAGAGATTGTCCTAGGCTATTGAGTGGGGCTCTACAGCAGAGTTCTCGATCGATGGTACCAGCACTAGCAGTTACACCACCCGCCCAGTCAGCTCGGGGTGGGGGTCAGACAGTTAGGGGTCACCCAAGAGGGGGAGGTCGGTCAGGTGGCGGTCAGGCCCGATTATATGCTTTTCCTGCCAGACCAGATGCTGTTGCTTCAGATGCAGTGATCACAGGTATTGTTTCAGTGTGCCACAGTGAGGATTTGACCCTGGTTCCACTTATTCATATGTATCATCGTATTTTGCTCATTATCTGGATATGCCCTATGAGTCCTTAGTTTCACATGTTTGTGTATCTACACCGGTGGGTGATATTATTATTGTGGACCATGTGTATCGGTCGTGTGTGGTAACTATTGGGGAACTGGAGACCAGAGTTGACTCCATGTCATGCTATTCTGGAATATCACGCAAAAATCGTGGCATTGACGATGTTGTGGTTGCCAATGTTTGAATGGAGAGGTTCTCTAGATTTTGTTTCTAGCAGGGTAATTTCTTATTTGAAGGCCCAACGTATGGTTGGAAAGGGATGTTTGTCATATTTGGCCTTTGTGAGAGATATTGATACAGCTACTCCTATTATTGATTCAGTACTGGTCGTGCGAGACTTTTCGGATATATTTCCTGCAGACCTGCCGGGTATGCCATCCGACAGGGATATTGATTTCGGTATTGACTTGGTGTAGGGCACTCAACCCATTTCTATTCCTCTGTATCGTATGGCACCAGCTGAGTTAAAAGAATTGAAAGAGCAACTTCAGGACCTCTTTGATAAGGGGTTTATTAGGCCTAGTGTGTCACCTTATGGTGCACCTGTTCTGTTTATGAAAAAGAAAGATGGTACTATGCGGATGTGCATCGATTATAGGCAGTTGAACAAAGTTACAATCAAGAATAAATATCCCTTGTCGCGTATTGATGACTTATTTGACCAGCTTCAGGGAGCGAGGGTGTTCTCCAAAATTGATTTGAGTTCTGGGTATCACCAGTTGAAAATTCGGGATTCAGATATTCTAAAGACGGCATTCAGAACTCGTTATGGACACTATGAATTTCTTGTGATGTCTTTTGGGCTAACCAATGCCCCAGCAACATTTATGCATTTGATGAATAGTGTATTCCAGCCATATCTTGATATATTTGTCGTAGTATTTATTGATGATATTCTGGTGTACTCACGTAGCCAGGAGGAACATGCATAACACTTGGGTATTGTATTATAGAGGCTGAGAGAGAGGAGAGACTTTATGCCAAATTCTCTAAGTGTGAGTTCTATCTTATTTCAGTGGCATTCTTGGGACATATAGTGTCCAGTGAAGGAATTAAGGTGGATCCGAAGAAAATAGAGGCAGTTCAGAGTTGGCCCAGGCCATCTTCAGTTACTGAGATTCGGAGTTTTCTCGGCTTGGCCGATTATTATCGTCGCTTCGTGGAGGGTTTCTCGTCAATTGCATCGCCTATGACTAAATTGACCCAGAAAGGTGCTCCGTTCAGGTGATCGGATGAATGTGAAGAGAGCTTTTATAAGTTCAAAACAGCTTTGACTACAACTCCAGTATTGGTGTTGCCTACAGGTTCAGAGTCTTATACTATGTATTGTGATGCGTCGCGTATTGGTCTCGGCGTAGTGCTGATGCAAGACGGTAGAGTGATTGCCTATGCGTCCAGACAGTTAAAGGTACATGAGAAGAATTATCCAGTCCACGATCTTGAGTTAGCAGTTATTGTTCATGCCTTGAAACTTTGGCGGCATTACTTATACGGTGTCCAGTGTGAGGTATATACCGATCATCAGAGTCTACAACATTTATTTAAACAGAAGGATCTTAATTTGCGGCAGAGAAGGTGGTTAGAGTTGCTTAAGGATTATGACATTACCATTATCTATCATGCCGGAAAGGCCAATGTGGTTGCCGATGCCTTGAGTCATAAGGCAGAGAGTTTGGGCAGTTTAGCATACTTACCAGTAGCAGAGAGGCCTTTAGCCTTAGATGTTCAGGCCTTGGCCAATCAGTTTGTTAGATTGGATGTTTTCGAGCCGTATCGAGTTTTGGCTTGTGTGATTTCTCGGTCTTCTTTATATGATAGCATCAGAGAGCGCCAGTATGATGATCCACATTTGCTTGTCCTTAAGGACACAGTTCAGCACGGTGATGCCAAAGAAGTCACTATTAGAGATGATGATGTATTACGGATGCAGGGCAGGCTATGTGTGCCTAATGTAGATGGTTTGCGTGAGTTGATTCTCCAGGAAGCTCACAGTTCGCGGTACTCCATTCATCCAGGTGCCGCGAAGATGTATCAGGATTTGAGGCAACACTATTGGTGGAGGCAAATGAAGAAAGATATAGTTGGGTTTGTAGATCGGTGTTTAAATTGTCAATAGGTAAAGTATGAACATCAGAGGCCGGGAGGATTGCTTCAGAGACTTGAGATTCCGAAATGGAAATGGGAGCGTATTACCATGGATTTCGTAGTTGGGCTTCCACGGACTTTGAGATAGTTTGATGTTGTTTCGGTGATAGTAGATCGGTTGACCAAATATGCGTATTTTATTCCAGTTGGTACTAATTATTCTTCGGAGCGGTTGGCTGGGATTTATATTCGCGAGATTGTCCGCCTACACAGTGTGCCAGTGTCCATCATTTCAGATCGGGGAACGCAGTTTACATCACAGTTTTGGAGAGCAGTGCAGCAAAAATTGGGCACACAGGTTCAGTTGAGTACATCATTTCACCCTCAGATGGACGGACAGTCCGAGAGCACTATTCAGATATTAGAGGATATGTTGCGCGCTTGTGTCATCAATTTTGGGGTTCTTGGTATCAATTTCTGCCACTCGCAGAGTTTGCTTATAATAATAGCTACCAGTCAAGCATTCAGATGGCTCCATATGAGGCTT